CAGCACACTTAGGTGCATCTGGTGCAAACTATGCAAAGAACCTTTTACGCGCTGCAGTTCTTTTCCAATACATTCCAAAGTTGTATAGGCTTCTTCCACTTCTTGCTGGCCAAACACCTACAGGGTTCATATTTGAGTCGGCTTGGGCTAACTTTGTTATTAATCTTCTCACCTTCATGCTTGCTGGTCATGTTGTTGGCTCTTGCTGGTACCTTTTTGGTCTCCAGGTACTGCGCAAAAAGTCTCAAAACTTGTATGATTCAGTACTACAACAGAAGATTTATTGATTCTTCTCATTGCCTGCCTCTTTTTTTTTTTCTTTTGTATCTTTCAGAGAGTAAATCAATGCCTTCGAGATGCTTGTGGTAACTCTGATCATGAGTGTAGAGATCTAATAGATTGTGGTCGTGGAGATAGCTATCAAGCCTTTGCTGCATGGAAAAGTAATGCGAGTGCAAGTGCTTGTTTTCAAGAGGATGGTTTTCCTTATGGAATTTATATGAAGGCAGTCAATCTCACCAATCATACAAGCCTCTTCACAAGATATAGTTACTCTCTTTTCTGGGGCTTCCAGGTAATCCGGTTTATTACACAACAGTTTCACTAGTTGTCACATCTTAATGAATGTGCCTTGTTTACAACTCTCAAAAGCAAATCAGCACGCTTGCTGGAAACCAAGAGCCAAGTTACTTTCTTGGGGAGGTCTTCTTTACCATGGGGATTATTGGACTAGGGCTATTGCTTTTTGCACTTCTTATTGGTAATATGCAGAACTTCCTTCAAGCTCTTGGTCGAAGGTAAGTAACTACCATATCATTAGAATATATCTCAAGACATAGTGAATATATTTTTACATCTTAGGAATTTGGAAATGACATTGAGACGGCGTGATGTGGAGCAATGGATGAGCCATAGAAGGTTACCAGAAGGTATAAGAAAGTATGTGGACTATGCCTCTTAACTTTTCTTCTCAAGTTGAAGACTTTATGGTGTGTCTCTATAAAGTAACTGAATAGTTGTTTCTACGTACATTATTAAGGAGGGTGCGAGAAGCTGAGCGTTTCAACTGGGCTGCTACTAGAGGAGTTAAAGAAGAATTGCTATTTGAGAATATGCCTGATGACCTTCAAAGAGATATAAGACGACACCTCTTCATATTTCTCAAGAAGGTAAAAACATCAGAGTCCATTTCCCTCAGGGCTTAGCTAGTTTTTGCTGAAAATGTTAGTGGGGTTTTGTAGGTGAGGATATTTTCGTTGATGGATGAATCAATCTTAGATGCCATCCGTGAGAGGCTAAAACAAAGAACGTACATAAGTAGTAGCACAGTGCTGCACCGTGGAGGTCTAGTTGAGAAAATGGTATTCATAGTGAGAGGTGAGATGGAGAGCATTGGAGAAGACGGTTCTGTTCTTCCTCTATCAGAGGGAGACGTTTGTGGTGAAGAGCTCCTCACTTGGTGCCTTGAACGCTCTTCTGTAAACCCTGGTACGTCCCTTGTTGACTCTCTATGTGCTCATAAACCTCAAAGCTTTTGAGTTAATTGGAACTGAGTATGCTTTGGAACATGCAGATGGAACAAGGATAAAAATGCCATCAAAGGGATTGCTAAGCAACAGAAATGTTAGGTGTGTGACAAACGTGGAGGCGTTTTCACTGAGTGTAGCAGATCTTGAAGACGTAACAAGCTTGTTCTCGAGGTTCTTAAGGAATCCTAGAGTGCAAGGAGCCATTAGGTATGAATCTCCATATTGGAGGCTACGAGCAGCTAGGCAGATTCAGGTGGCTTGGAGATACCGAAAGAGACGGATTCATAGATTGTACACTGCTCAGTCTGGTTACAGCCTTTAGATTGTAATCTTCGTTCTTGATGACGATGATGGAATGGTGATGATATATATTATAATCATAGCTTAATGCTTCACTTGAATTCATTTTTTGCACTATAAAAATATTAAATTATGTATTTGCTTTAATAAAAAGACTACAGCCACTTAAGAAGATTAATTATATATACAAATATATCATATGTAACATGAGAACGCGATCATAACTGAACCTTTTTCTACAACGAAGGAAGCGCAAGGAGCTTGCGGGTAACGTTTGTCAAGAATCTACAAAAAGATAAAGCAAAAGATGAAAACAACAAAAAGAAAGGAAGGAGAGCTGAGAGACATAATACAAGTGAAGAAAAATCAATTTAAATAACCAATGTAGCACCATAAAGTTTATGTGTATATATATCAAGTTGATTGAGAGAAGAGAAATGAGGTACACTCCTAAGAACCCGATCTTGTAAGTGATCTGTGAGATTTATATATGGCTCCTGTAGGATTACCTCCAGGCTTCAGATTTCATCCAACGGACGAAGAACTCGTAAACTATTATCTGAAAAGAAAGATCAGTGGACAAGAAATCGAGCTAGATATAATCCCTGAGGTTGATCTCTACAAATGTGAGCCATGGGACCTCGCAGGTAACGTTATCTTGCATTCTTCATGGCTCTTGGGCTCATAATCTTATCGTTTAGTTTTATTGTCATTATATTGTTAATTATGTGCATGTACATACTAACTAGGAAGTTTTGGTCTTTTGACTCATAGTCTTATCATTTAGTTGTATTGTTATATATGATATGATTTGTAAATTTTTTTCTTAAAAAACTTGTAGAGAAGTCGTATCTACCAAGTAGAGATCCAGAATGGTATTTTTTCGGGCCACGTGACCGGAAGTATCCAAATGGGTTTAGGACGAACCGAGCAACGAGAGGTGGATATTGGAAATCGACTGGGAAAGATCGGAGAGTGACGAGTCAAAGCAGGGCGATTGGGATGAAGAAGACTTTGGTTTACTATAGAGGAAGAGCTCCTCAAGGGACCCGTACGGATTGGGTTATGCATGAGTATCGTCTAGATGATAAAGATTGTGACGATCCCTCTTCGCTCCAGGTGATTGGTCAAATTATTATCACTCGAAATATATATTTATAAAAAAAATAGTATAGAATATATAGAGTTAATTGCATGTTTTACGTACATGTACATACAAACAAAAAGAAAATTACGTGGAGATGCATGGCTAATTCTAATTATTATAGAAAAAATAGAAAAAAAAACAGATTAGTATGATTAGAATACAAAATTAAAGCTTTTTTAATATATAAGATTGAAGCTCTTTTTTAATTAAAATTAAAGCATATAACCTGTAATTGATGATACATATTCGTTTATTGCTGTAAGCTGACAAAAGCTTAGGGTTTAGCTTTCGCTTTACTGCGACGAGACAAAAGCCACATCTAATACTTTTATTTGTGTTTTTAATCACATTCCAATACTCGGAAACAACTATAGACATGTAAATATATTAAAAGTAAATTGCATTCCAAATATTTAGTTTAAATGGTTTGATGGTGCAGGACTCGTATGCATTATGTCGGGTGTTCAAGAAAAACGGGATATGTTCGGAGTTGGAAACAGGACAGCAATTACAAACGGGACAATGTAGCTTCACCACAGAATCAATGGAGATCAGTTCTTGTAATAATAATATTAATTATAATAATGATTATGAGACAATGTCTCCGGAAGTTGGAGGTTCCTCCGCCTGCGTAGAAGACGTCGCCGACGACAAAGATGATTCTTGGATGCAATTCATCACAGATGACGCATGGGACACGTCGTCAAACGCTGCAGCTATGGGACATGGTCAAGCGGTTTATATTGACTACTGACGAACAGAGAATATTGGGTAAATAACGCAAACACTTAGGTACACTTTTGTTGTACTTTATCTATAGTCGTTGGAACAAAACTTGTGGGTGGTTGTTTTTTTTTTTCTTTTTTTTTGGGGGGGGGGGGGAAGGAATTATGTTATTATTTTCCAATGGTTTGGCGGCTCTACAGATCACTGATTCCAATATATCTTATCTTTTTCACTATATAGAGTTATACAACAGGGTGAGAACCAAGTTATCTACTATTTTTAGGTCAAAGATTTTTTGTAAGAGAGACCAAGGTTTACATGATTACATAAAAAGCAAGAGAGACCAAGATTTACATGACTACATAAAAAGCAGAGATCTCTAACAGTCTGACTATATATACTAGGGAAAAAAAATTAATATATGATCTTTTTATATACCAAGTGAAGGATGCAATTTCCCTATGATCATATTGGCAGTAAGAAAAAAAAGTGAATAATACTGATAAAAAAAAATTTGATCATATATTTTTTGGATGGTTCTACATGCTTTTAAACAAGAGGACAGAACAAGGAAAAGGTGAAAGTGAAGAGATTGATGAAAGTATAAATCCAAGATTCTGATCTCACTCTCTTCGGAAGAGAAAGATCCCTTGCCTTGCGATCAAGGAGACTCTGTCTTTCTTTTTCCTCACGCATCTCTTATACATCCGATCATTTCTCGTTCCTGTTCTACATTTAGTATGTTTTTCAATAAACCGAATAGAACATATAACAATATTTTCATCTTTGCATTACAAGTTAATGAATTCATATATTTGATTAAAAACAATATTTACATCTCATTTCCTTGCAAAAACCATAGATAACACACATCAAAAAAAAAAAAAAAAAAAAAACACACTCACATCATAGGCGTTTATTCATACTATATGGAGGAACACAAGCATGCATTTTCACGTAATGTTCTTCTTGCTTGTCTAGTATAGTATATGATCAAATGGCTAAATCGTCAAAATTAATATAGGAAAATTTGTTAAAAAGCATATACTATATGAGCATGCGTTTACTAAAATCTTCAGATATAGTACAATATGTCTAGTATATGTACGTAGTATGATCAAAAACATTTATAATAGAAATGTCAAAAAATGGTTTGAGTCTTATATCTCTATAATATTATTTGAGAAGTCAGTTTCCTATGTGTCGCTCTCACGTTCATTCTTACGATGTTTGATTACACTAATACCCTTAATGAATTAAAAATAATATTATTAATTCCTTTATTTACTTTCCTTTTCAAAAATTTCCAAAAAAATATGTAATAAAAAAGGAAATTTTTTATAAAGTCATAAAAACAAATTTAAAACGAAAAATATATGTATATATAATATGATTTCATAAAAAAGGAAAGTTCAAAAAATAGTAATAATACATTTAAAAATATTTTTAAATAACATAAAATATACTTTCAGAGTAATAAAATAGTTTATAATTAGTATTATTGAATTTATTTATTTATTTTTCATATATTTAGTTGACTATAATATCTTTTAATTACAGAAAATTATCTATAAATTATATTTTACTTATATAATATTATTTTCAAATACAATCACAATTTTGTGTAGCGGCTTATTTTTAAGAGATAGTAAAAACTAAAAATAAATTTAACAATAAACATCGCTTGATCAAATAATTAACAATTAGTTTAATTAGTTAGATATATGATATTTTATCATTATTATAATTATTTTTTTTCTTAATATTAAATTTTCTTTTAATTTTTTTTTGTTTTTCTGTTTGTGAAACTAAATATAACCATAATCAAAACTAGAACTTGACCCGCATCCATGTGTGGGTGTTTGATTAACTTGTGTTCAACTTAAATGCATAAATTGTTGGTTTTATAAAAAAAAATACTTTTATGTTTTTTAATTTACATATATGGTAGAATATGTTATTTCATAAATTAAATATTTAATAATAATTTTTTATTTGTACATAATATTATATTAGAAATTTTATAACTTGATGCAGTTTGATGTTATTGTACTATTCATTTATTAACATTTTGTTTTTTTGTTAATTTATTTTAAAATAAAGTAGCATACTAAAAATTATCATTGCATTACTTTTCTATGAATTATCATTAATTTTATGATGTTTTCTTGAAAATTGAATTCTTGAAATTTTATATTTGACTAAATTAAATAAGATATTACTATATTTAAAATTATATTTATGTAATATATACTATATATTCCAGTTCGTATTTTTTTTAATTTTCACCAAAAAAAACCATTGTAATTAATTAATCTAAATTTATTTTAAATGCAATGGTAGAATCTGTAAATAAACAAAAATATAAAAGAAAAGTATTTAATTTATTGTAAATGCAGTAGCTAAAGGTGCAAATAAAAGAAAGTACCTAATATGTTATCCATGTTTCTAAACAATTCTCATTTATTCTACTATATTTATTTCCAAACAGTATCATAAGGTATTTCAATTTTAATAATATAGATACCAAAGTAAATCTGAATTTCAATTTAAGATTATTTAAAATAAATTTGAGTTTACATTCAATAAATTTAAAGCATAAAGTTATTTAGACTTTATAAATATTTTAATTATTGTTAATATTGATATGTGTTCATGAACTTCCAAAAATATATCAGCTACTTATGCTTGTAACCTTCTATTGATCATAAGATAACTCAAAACATATTAACAAATGAAAATAAATATTAACCAACTCTTACAATTTTAGTTCTTTTGTAAATTTCTATATATGTCTGAGACTTTAGAATATTATTCTTATATTAATTTACGTATTTTGGAATCAGACACTTTATTTAATTTTTAATTCATTCTAAGTACAATATATCTTAAGTTATACATAATTTTCCTAAAATAAATTTACATATCTAAGACAACACCCACTATATGCAAATAAGTAACTGATTAAAATTAATATATTTTTAAAATATTACAGTTGAATTCAGAGATGCAATCCAATTTATTGAAATGATAACTAAATCAACCGTAAAAACAACAAAATTGACTAGATGTAACATATATAAAATTACAGTATAAATAAAGTAATACAATCTTATTAATATAAATGATGCATACAAATTATAAATTAATTTAAAATTAAAACTAAATAGTAATCAATTATTATCATATATTTACTTTAAAAATATTTATATCCGTGCATGAGCACGGGAAAATCACCTAGTTAATCTAATAATTGTTGTGATATTTGTCTGGAGTGGAGTGGAGCATGGTTTATGACTGGTGACTTTAATGAGCTCACATGTAATCATGAGAAGAGGGGAGGAAGACGTCGCTCAGAAAATTCTTTCCTCCCTTTCCGAATCATGCTAGAAAACTGTGGAATGCTCGATTTTCCATATAAGGGTAACTTTTTTTCATGGGTCGGAAAAAGAAAAAATGGGAAAATAAAGTGTAAACTCGATAGAGCTGTGGCAAATGAGGATTGGCATGCTCTTTTTAATCATAGCATCGTTAAATACCTGCAATTATGGGGGTCGGACCATCGTCCAGTCCTCACAAGGATCCAATCCATCACCAGAAGAACAAGGTCGAAGAATTTCAGATTCGATAAGAGATGGATAGGGAAACCTGGCTTTAAGGAAGCGGTAACCTCGGGATGGGGACCTTTTAATGAAATTCCAGTTAGGAATTTTCACCAAAAAATTACCTCATGTCGCCATAAGATTAGTACCTGGAAGAAGGATAACCCGTCCAACTCAGCTGTCTTGATCAAAGAATTAAAACATAAGATTGATCTTGCCCAAGATGATGAAAATACCACGACAGAGGAACTGGAAGAATTACGGAGACAATTGATTTTGGCTTTCAAAGAAGAAAATACTTTTTGGGAACAAAAAAGCTGGAACCAATGGCATAAAAACGGGGACACAAATACAAAATTCTATCATGCCACCACGAAGCAAAGCAGAACTCAGAATCGAATAATAAGCATAAAGGATAAGAATGGGCGATTAGTAGAGAGTGAAATCGAAGTGGAGAATGTAGCTATCCAATACTTTCGAGATCTATTCTCTACTTCCTCGCCGACGGAGGTTGATACCTCCCTACGATTTATTCCAGAGAAAGTGACCCAAACGACAATAGGTTACTCTTAGAGATACCGTCGGAACAGGAAATTCGAAAAGCTCTTTTTGACATAAACCCGGACAAAGCTCCTGGCCCGGATGATATGACTAGTAAGCTCTTTCAGAAGTTCTGGACTGAGATGAGACAAGATATTATCAAACTTGTACAAGATTTCTTCGCGACTGGAAGTTTTGACCCTCTCTTAAACTAGACAAATATCTGCCTCATCCCGAAAAAAAGAAACCCCGTGAGATGTCCGAGTTCAGACCTATTAGTCTCTGCAATGTTAGCTATAAGATTATATCTAAACTTCTATGCAAGAGACTTAAGAGGCTGATGCCGCGACTGATCTCTGAGACACAATCTACCTTTGTGGCAAAACGTTTGATCACAGATAACGTTCTGATAGCACAAGAGAATTTCCACGCTTTAAGAACAAACAACCGATGCAGAGTAGACTTTATGGCCATTAAGACAGACATGAGTAAAGCCTATGATAGAGTGGAATGGAGTTTCCTGACGACCTTGTTGCTGAAGATGGGCTTTGATGTACGACTAGTCGACCTCATTATGTGGTGTGTCACGTCGGTCTCATATCAAATCCTAGTTAACGGACAACCGAGAGGGCGGATCCTTCCAAGGAGGGGACTGAGACAAGGGGACCCCTTATCCCCTTTTTTATTCATTTTGTGCACTGAAGCCTTGATCTCGCTTCTTAATGGAGCAGAGGCGAAGAAGAAAATAATAGGACTCCGTGTGGCCCAGGCAAGCCCAAGGATCTCTCATCTTCTCTTTGCTGACGAAAGTCTTTTTTCTGCAAGGCAGAAGCTAGCCAATGTAAGGAAATCATGGACATTATTAACATTTATGGACAAGCATCAG